TTTTCAAGCTTCATTCATCCTGTAACATGTCAGTCCCTCATTTCTCTTTATGGTCATGGTGTGAATATACAATATGTTATTTATCCATTCATAGTTGATAAGACATTTGTGTTGTTTCTACCTTTTGGCTAATAAATAATGCTGCTATAGATATTTGTATGTAAGTTTTTGTATGCACATGTTTTAACTCCTCTTTGGTATACACCCAGGGGTAGAATTGTTGGATCATATGGTAACTTGGACAGAGGAGCCTGGCAGGCTACAGTCCATAGAGCTGCAAAAGGTTGGACACAACTGAAGCAACTTAGCACACACAACACACATGGTAACTCTATGTTTACCTTTTGAGGAATTGACAAACTGTTTTCCAAAGCATCAGCACCATATTACATTCCCATCAGCAGTGTATGTATGTATGTTGCTCAGTCCCTCAGTCGTGTCCAGCTCTTTGTGACCCCATGGACTGCAGCACGCCAGGCTTCCCTGTCCTTCACCGTCTCCCAGAGTTTGCTCAAACTCCTGTGTATTGAGTCGGTGATGCCATCCAACCATCTCATCCTGGGTCATCAGGTTCTCCTCTCCTCTTCAATCTTTCCCAGTGAGTCAGCTCTTCACATCAGGTGGCCAAAGTACTGGAGCTTCAGCTTCAGCATCAGTCCTTCCAATAAATATTCAGGATTGATTTCCTTTAGGATTGACTGCTTTGATCTCCTTGCTGTCCAAGGGACTCTCAAATGTTTTCTCTAACACCACAGTTCAAAAGCATCAATTCTTTGGCACTCAGCCTTCTTTACAGTCCAACTCTCAGATCCATTCATGTATGTACGAGGTCTCCAAATCCTCCACATTCCTGTCGACACTTGTTATGATCTTTTTATTCAGTGGATGTGGTGTTTCCACTGTGGTTTTGATTTGCCTTCCTCTGATAACTAATGATGTTGAGCATTTTTTTCATATGCTTGTTGGTCATTTATAGATCTTTTTGAAGAAATACCTGTTCATATCCTTTGCCCATTTTTCAATTGGCTTTTATTATTCATTTATAGTAATTCTTTATATATTCTAGATTAAGGTCTCTATCATATATATATGATTTGCAAAAATTTTCTCTCATTCTGTGGGTTGTCTTTTATTTCTTGATGGGGTCTCTGAAGCACAAAAGTTTAAAATTTTGATGACGTTCGCCTTATCTGTTTTTTCCTTTGGTCGTTTGTCCCTTTGATGTTATATCTTAAAAAACATTGCCAGGTCCAAGGTCATGAAAATCTACACCTATATTTTCTCCTAAGAGTTTAATAGCTTTAACACTTACATTTAGGGTTTTTATTCCTTTTTGAGTTAATTACCATGTGTAAGGGGAAGTAGGGATTCAGTTTCTTTCTTTTTTTTGGATATGGTTATCCAATTGTCTTAGCATCATTTTTGAAAATAGTTCTTTCCCCCTTTGAATTGTTTTGGCAGCCTCATCAAAAAGAGTGCATGCATGTGTTCTCAGTCGCTAAGGCACATCTGCGACCCCATGGACTGCAGCCAGCCAGGTTCCTCTGCCCGTGGGATCTCCCAGACAAGAATACTGGATTACGTTGCCATTTCCTTCTCCAGGGGATCTTCCTGACAGAAGGATCGAAACCATGTCTCCTGCATCGGTAGGTGCGTTCTTTACCACTGAGGGCCCAAGGAGGGTGTTGCCTCCCCAATGGGGAATCGAATCCTAGTCTCCTGTGTGACAGGCAGGGATACTCACCACTATATTAACAAGAATCAATTGATTGTAAATGTGAGAGTTTATTTCTGGATTCTCAAATTTATTCCATTGATCTATAAATCTATCTATAGCTCTGTGGCAAGTTTTGAAATCAGGGAGCTTGAATGCACCGACTTTATTCTTCTTTTTCACAGTAGTTTTAGCTATTCTGGGTCCCTTGAATTTCCTTTTCTTAGGCTTTTTTGTTGCTAGGATGAATGAGCTCTCTTTTCTATTTCATCACTGCTCTGTATAGAAAGCTATTGAAAGTCATATATTTATTTTTGTGTCCAGCTACTTTACGTTGCTTGCACATAAGTTCTAAATATTCCCCAATCCATTAGACAGGCATTCTTAGCTAGACAATCATATCTCTTGCAAATAATAAGCTTGTCTCTTCCTTCCCAAATTCACATCTATTTTTCTTCTCATTGTTTTTCCTTGAATTTCACACTCTTCACAGTGTGACATCCTTGTTTTGCTCCTTGTTTTCATAGGATTATCTTTGTTATCAAGGACTATATTATCCATACCCAGTCATCACTGAGGTGTCACATTGTCTGTTGCATTGAAATAAATACATTTATCATCTTGACAAAGTCTTTTTATTCCCAGTCACTAAGAGTTTTCATCAGGGTTCATCTTATTAGGATAATTATGTGGTTTTTCTCCTGTGTCCTATTCATGTGATGAACAATATTAATAAACTCTTAACATTCACACCCCTCCCCCAGCCCCGTGCATAAACTGTATCTCCTGAGTCAGTGGGAACAAATTAGCTCACATTAACAGGAATAACTGAGGTCTCATGGTGCAGCTCCCACCTGTATAATATAGAACAGATGTCACAAACTGAAAATTGGCAGGTCACGTCTGGTTTGGCTTGCAAGGCGGGGTGGGGGGGGTGGGTAAAATACTGTGTTGAATTAGTTTCCAGCGTTTAAAAATCAGGAGATTTCAGACTAAGAGCTCCAATTTTCAGTTTCTCTTTACAAATGATAAAATCTGACCATGTGAGTCCTGCATTCTCACAGGGTGACAGAGAGCTAAAGTTGCCCCCTGGGTGAGGGGGACTAGTGTAGAGGACTCCTCATTTACATCTTTTTCACATCCTATTGTCTCCATACCATATTGTTCCCAGACATCAAGGTCAAGGGTCAGCTGTCAGACTTTATAATTGTGTAGTTATTTTTCTTATAATGGAATTAGGTGAAAGTGTGTAATCACATCCCTAGCAAATTCAGAAAAACAAAAGAGACCAAGAGAGATATGAGCTTTGGGAGAAATGGATGCACACATAATTCTCAGGGGAAGTGAAGAATATTCCTATAATGCTTAATACACAAAGTGTGCCTGTTGAAAAGATACAATGTGAGATGCCACCGGCTAAAAAACTAGTAAGAAGAATGTGAAAAAGATGTGTAGGGGAAAGAAAACATTATTGAACTGGAAAAAAAAGGCGGGGGGGGCGTCTGACACATTCATTGGGCTTGTTTCAGGAGGCACAGAGTATCCACAATGCTATCGTGAAATGCCATACTCTAGCAAACCAACACCATCTCGCCAGTTCTGTCCTTGAATCTGAGCTGTTTTAGCTCTTGAACCTGCTCCGGTCCTGGGTGGCTGTAGTTGGAAGTCCTGGCCAATAGGTGTCAAGTGCTGATCAGATCTCCTGGTTGTTCTGCCCTCTTGGGATGGGGAGACACAGACAGAGCTGAGGGGGAGAGTGGGGATGGTTAACAGGCAAGCTGGCTCCACTGCTGCTTTTTTCAGTTTATTTGGCTGCACCCAGTCTTAGCTGTGGCATGGGAATTCTTAGTTGTGGCATGCAGGATACAGTCCCCTGACCAGGGATCCAACCTAGGCACCCTGTATTGGGAGTGAGAAGTCTTAACCACTGGACCACTATAGAAGTCCCCCTGATGTGGGATGGGACCAAGTGGGCTTCATGAGATGCCCAGCTCCCTGACAGTGAACCCTAGTGGACAATTCAGCTTTCCTCCACCTTCGGTTCCAGGGACATCAAGGACATGGAAAAAGTCAAGGACGCCATAACTTCTCCTGTAGCTTTCAAAGCGCTCTCAGGATCCACCATGTCAATCCCGCTCATGCTGTGTCATTCTTGCTACTCACTTCCCACTTCCAGAGCCCTTCCACCCCTTCCTCCCGACTTGGCCACCTCTGGGCTGCCTCCCTCTTCCCCCTTCTCCTTTTTGTTTTTGTTTGTGGTGGAAAAAGTAAGGACTGGGGAGACCAGAGTCCTTGTTTACCCTTCTCAAGATGAAAGACCTCCAGGATGTCTTCTCACAGACTTTATGGTTCTGGTTCCTTGTTTGTAAAACGGTGGGGGGCGGGCGGGACGGGGGTGGTCCATGCAAGAGAAGAAGTGCTGGACGGTTCTGAGCACCTTCCCATCTCTAATAGAGGCTGGGACCAGTTCTCTGTGCCCATCCACGAGTACTTTCTGTTTCTGTGTTTTGGGGGAAGTTGCTTTTTCTTGGTATTGAGTGAGTCAGGAGGAGAAAAACCATTGGCAGTCCCATCTCTCAAAGCCTCAGGTAGGGCTGTGGCTTCTGACAACACTAACGGCTGATCTTGTGGCCGATTTCGAATGCCTCTAACAGATATTGTGACACAAGTCCCATTCAAGAGTGAAAATGGAAATTCCAGCCTCGCCCTTTGTGACCTCTCAAATAAACTGCTATCCTTTCGTCGCCAGAGCTGCTCGCACAACACAGCAGCCAACCTTCTCATTCCTAGTTTGTAACGAGGAAACGGAGGCATGGGGAAGAGTAGTGATTTCCAGGATCCCTAGGAGTTCTTCCAGCTCCGGATAAAAAAACACATCTGCCCGCGTGGCCTGTGGGGAGAACGGGCGGGGGAGGGCGCCAGAAGAGGGCCTGGACCCTGGAGACGACCCCTCCCCGCCTTTAGGAGAAACGGCTGCAGTCACAGCCACTGGTGATGGAAGGTAAGGAAGTCAGACCAGAGGCTGGGGCAGCCGGGCCGAAAGTCTGGATGGGCTGGTATTTCTGGAAAGATTTCTGCCCAAGGACGAAGGGCGAGGGTCGCGGGGCCCGTGTGCACAGCAGGGGTGCGGGCATTTTAAAGGTTAAGAGCACCCGTAGAAAATAGAAGTAGGAGGAGGAAGTGGGGCTCTGGGGCGCAGTGCGAGAAGGAAGCAGCTCGTCGGAGCTTCCCCTTTTTCCTTCTTCCCCGAAGCCCCCACCCCAAGCCCCTCGCCCGCTCCGCCCACCCATCCCGCCCTGCCAAGCCGCGCTTCCGCTCCCCCGGGTCCAGCCTCACCTTACTCCTGGGGACGGCCCGGGGCGGGGGAGGGTCGCCGGTACTAGGCACTGGCATCCCTCCGGCCTTGGCCAGCCTCCGGCCAGGACCTATTCCTTCCGAGGGCAGACGAGCTCAGAGCTGGGCGGCTCCTCAGACACGCGGCGGGCTCGAGCCGGACTCCGAGGATGCTTGGGGTCAGGCTGGCGTCCGGCCGACGCCGCCTGGCCACCAGGTGGCGCGAGAGTCCGGCTGGGCGGCCTGCCCCGCCCGGCCCCGAGCAGGCCCCGCCCCGGCATGGCCCCGCCCCCAGCCCGCCGTCGGAGCGGAGCCCTGATCGATGCCGGGACTCACCGTGCGGGTCCCCAGCTCCCGCGCGGTGGTCGCGACGGTACCCAGAGTCGCAGGGAGTCGCCTCTGGAGAGGGACTCGGCGCCCAGCGGGGACTTCAGGTGTGTGGCCGGGGTTCGGGGGCGCGGAGTGCACGCGTAGGGGCTTGAGGCCGAGCCAGAGCTGCCCGCGGACAGTTGGAGAGCGATGCGCTGGACAGACCCTGCCGCCTTCTGTGTCTGAGAATAGGGCCCCACTGCCGGGGACACGGCCCGCGCACACGCGTGCCAGTAATCTCACAGGCAGAAAGGTATGCCGGCGACTGCCCATCCTTGCCGAAGTAGCCACCGATGGAGGCGTCTGTGCGGTCCGAGTGTGGCCGCAGCCTCCTGCTGCCTCTTTCGAGGCTGCCTTGTGTCTTCGGGTCAAGGAGTCTGCTCTCCCGTCTGGGAGCGCTCTCTCTCTCTCTTTGGGAACCTTGGCATCAGGGGTCCTTAGCCACCAGGACCTCCAGCGAGCGCGGGCCCCCAGACAGTGGCTGCTTTTCTCCAGAAGCGCACTCTTGGCACTGTCAGCTTATCCGTGTTTACACCCCTCGGTGTCCCTGCGTGACTCTTGTGTGCGCGCGTGCATGGGTGTGCGCGTGCGCGTGCGCGCTGGCCCATCCCAGGCCTTGGGTAAATAAAGTTCTTCAGGTCAGTAGGAGGAAGGAGATTGTTCAGAGGGAAAAGGAAGGCGAGATGAAAGCAGCAGGATGTGGTATCAAGTGAGTTACAAGCCTCTTGCAGAGAGGAGGAGTGGGTTTGGGCGAAATGAGGGCCGGAACTGGGCCAGGTCTACGTGCGTCCAGGGCTCTGTCTGGGTCCCCCGTCTTTCCCTCCCTGCAGCGGTCACTCTGCCTTCCCTCCTGCTGGCCTGGGACCACCCAGAAAGGCACTGGTTCCCAGAACTTGTTAAAACACACCTTCTCCAGGCACCCTCTGCAGCACAGCTTTCCAAGGGTGGGGTCTGGAATCTGTATTTTTCTAAAATTTGAAGAAGATCCGTTACGTGATGAGGCTGGCGCCATTGCTTGGGAACCCTGGATGCTGTGGAAAGGAGGCCAGGGTTCCAGCTGTGCCCAGCTGTGTGACCCTCAGCCTCATGAACATCACACTGCCCCCTCCCAGCCTGCTTCCCCATCTGCAAAATGGGCCCTAACACGCAGCCTCAGGGAGCAAATCAAATGAGAAAAGTGTGAGCCGGGCGCCTGCACAGGGAGCTGCCCTGGGTATTTGCAGAACAAGGGAGTGGGCGTCTTGGGCTTACCTGCTTCCTCAGCGGGGACACTGCGGTGTGGCTCCAGGAAGACAGTTTTGAATGATCTACTCTCTCTTCCTGCTCAGAAGACCCTCCCCTGCTTCTTGGAGAATAACTAGCCAGGATGGTAATTCTGGGGACAGCGCAGAGTCTTTGTGTGCCCGGCCTCATTATTTTTTTGTTTGTTGTCTTTAAATTTTGGCTTCGAGGGCTCTTTGTTGCTGCAGCTCCGTTGCCATTGCTGGGGACTGGTGGGATCTTAGTTCCCTGAACAGGGATTGAATGCGCATCCCCTGCATTAAGAGGGGGATTCTTAACCTCTGGACCATCAGGGAAGGCCCCTCATCAGGGTTTTAAGACCCTTACCGATCTCTTAGGTGAGGGATAACTGTCTTCTCTTTACAAGCTGTAGTGGACAGAGAAAGACCTCTGTCTTCTTTGCCTGCCTCTCCCCAGCATGCGCTCCCCCCCTTTTTTTTTCTTTCAAGAAGAATCAAGTGGAAGCTAACCAGGTAACCAGTGTGTTTGGGATTACTGCAGGGGTCATAATGTGGAAGAGGAGGCTGGCTGTTGGAGGCTGCTCCATGGCCCCAGGTTAGTCATTGATCACCAGCCTTCCAGCAGAGAAGTGGAAAAAGGAGAGGCAATCACCTTTGTCTGGGCAGCCCAGCGTCAGAGGCTCCAGCTTGGGTTCAGAGGAACCCTCAGAGTGCTGACTTGGTCTTTGTTCAGAGAGCCTCACCCCCAAAGGACTGAGCTGGCCAGACTACTGTGGGACCTCTGGGAACTAGAAGACTCGTTTGCCTCAGCTGTGGGTGGACTGAAAGCCTGGATCAGCTTCTTAAGCAAGGAAGTATCTAGAGGGGCAAGATGGAGTGATTGTCATCAGCTCAGGGAAGAGGTTTGAGGTTCTGGCATAGATGGGGTGGGGGGTGGACAAAGGAAAGACTATGTCTGACTTCTGCCCGGAGGCAAGCTGAGACACTTGCACAGCAAACATATATTACTTATTAGGGTATTCCGTTGATGTGAAGATGTATGCATTTTCACATTTTAACAACTCTGAAATCATCTTACCATCCATGGTATCTTACCATTATAATAGGCGGCAATATTTCTTTCTTTCTTACTGGCACACAAAATAATGATGTGGTGGTGGTGGTGGTGTAGTTTCGAGGTCATTTGCCACCTCTTGTAGCCCGCCAGGCTCCTCTGTCCATAGGATTTTCCCAGGCAAGAATATTGGAGCGGGTTGTCATTTCCTTGTCCAGAGGATCTTCCTCACCCAGGGATCAAACCCGTATCTCCTACATTGCAGGAGGATTCTTTACCACTGAGTGACTAAAGAAGCCCAAAATAATGGCGCATCTTAGAATTGATGGCATCTTTTTCGATTCTGTGAAATATGATGTGTATTTTACAAATATGGGGGTTGTTTTCGATGTACAGGGGTACACACAGAACTACATCATTCTCATAAGTGAAATTGCACGTGTCACTTTCTCTACCAGCTCTACCTTGTAAACACCAAAACTTTTCATGGTATCCAGTTTTTAAAAGAAATCCTTATAAAATGTGTTGCTTGCCTTTATAAATCTAGCACATGGTGTGTGATTTAATAATTTCTTGAAAATGTTAAACGGTTCTACTTGCCATTTTGTGCATACCTTGGGTCTGCTCAGGACAAAATTTTTGTCATCTTTCTTTTTGTCCTTTTCCCCTTTAGCTATCATTTCATGGTCCTTGGCAGTGGGCTAAGTATTTCTCCACTTCCTTTTCATCTTCACTGCCATACTCAGGTTGCTACCACTATTATCCATATTTCCTGCAGAAGAAACTAAGGACCAGTTCGATACTGCTAGGAAGCGCCAGGGCTGGGGGGATGACCAGAGATGACCCAGCCCAAGCGGCATTCTGCCTGTGCCTGTGGGCATGGAGAGTATGGCTTGTGGAACTGACTTAGGGAGCCTGGATGTGGCCGTCTACAGGTATTTTCTGTTTGCTTCCAGGCTAGTGGCTGGAAGGTTCTGGATAGTTGGGTTATCAGCCAAGTGGCTTCCAGATAAGTGAGGTATAGCTGTAGCAAAGTGCAGGAGATTGGAGGGGAGGGCTAATGAATGGGAAGAAGTGGGTGACCAGTGGCACCAGGCAGATATTGGGTCCTTCGAGTCTACCGCATCTAGCACTCAGGGTGCTTGGCTTTGAGCTTTAGGGTTTGTCCTTAGTGGGAGACGCCTGCCTCCAGCTTTCCCCGACTCCCAGTCCAGCTTCTCTCATGTTGCCGTGGGGATATAAGACAACAAAGCTAAACAGGTCACTTTCCAGCTGTAAATCCTCCCGAGCTGCCCTGGCCCTCTACGGAAGGTCCATACCCCTTAGCATGCCTAGCAAGGCCTCTGCCACCCAGGTCAGGTCACCCTGCCTTCTTCATCTCTTGAAACTGGGGCAAACCTCTGCCTTTGCACGTGCTGCTCCTTCCCGCCACATTGCCCTTTGCGTCCACTGCCTGCCCAGCAGACCATGAATTCATCCTTGGATGCCCAGCTCCAACCTCATCATCTTTGAAGGCTTCCCCAACCCCCTCCTCACTCCACAGCACTGGCCACGCCATCCTTCCATCCCCCTCATGCCTTTCGTGTCCTACTGGAGCACTGGTCCCTCTGGCCTGCAGAGTCTGACCAGTGACATGGTGGCTGGGTCACCAGAGCCTTCTGATGCTCAGCACAGCCGTTCAGCTGTCACCATCAAGCTCCCCAGGATTTCTTAGAAAGCCACGAACAGCAATAGTGGGGGCTGCCAAGGGGGCTGCTGAGTGCAGGGTGTTGTGGGGGGCAGAAGGGTGGGGTCCAGAGGGAGCAGTGTGCTTTTCATTTTCATGTCCTCAAGAGTCTTGCTGCTGTTGTTGTTGACCTAGGCAAATGAGTCTGTGTGGTTTCCTTGTGGGGGGCAGGGCTGGGGTGTGACAGCTGAAGGCAGCTTCTGCCTCCTGTGGAGTCAGGGGGGCTGTGTTTCTGCCTGACTCCCCTACTCCCAGCCCTGTGACCCTGGGTGAGTCCACATACATCAGAAGTGTCAGTTTCCCCATATCCCTGGAAGCGTGCATGGATGCTTTCTACGGCCCCTTCCTCATCTCCAACAGTCCATTCCTTGGCTTAGCACCTCTGCACAGAGCACCTTCCGTGTGCCAGGTACGTGCTGGGGCTCTGAGGACCCTGTGGGAGACAGATAACGTTCCTGGAAATTTTTCATTTTGACTGCACTGGGTCTTCATTGCAGGCTTTTCTCTGGTTGCAGTACTTGGGCTTAGTTACCCTGTGGAATATGGGATCTTAGCTCCCCGGCCAGGGATAAAACCTACATCCCCTACATGGGAAGGCAGATTTCTTAACCACTGGACCACCAGGGAAGTCCCCCTCTCCTGGTGGAAATTAGTCTAGTGGGCGGGACAC